CTAGGCTGAACGCCCTACAGCACTCACTCTAGTGCCTGGGCAACAAACGCGAGACTCTGTTCTGCCAAATAAAAACAAAAGGCCGCAATACTGAGTAATCATCTTTGTAGCTTTTAACTAGCTTTTTTGTAATATTCAGTATGGTTGGTTTTGGAGAGTTGGTGAAAAAGAAAGAAAAAACTTTTATCAATTCTTTTGATGCTATTTTTAATATATGTTTCACATTTATTTTTAATAGGGTCTTACTGGACGGGCTCTTCAGACTTAACAGCCATTGTTTCCATCTGGTTTGGAATCTTTCCTCCACCAAGCTTCTCCAGGTAATCAGTTGCCAATACCTCAGAAACAAATACTTCGGATCAAAACTTCTCTAAGACCTCGTCAGATATAGTCAATATAATCACGTAGATGGCGGCATTTTAGCACTCGGACACACTCCCCTACATGACACCGTGACAATGTGAACTCTCCTGTAGAAAATTAATGGAGTATAAACTCGAACAAGGAACAGGCCAACCTGGGACCAGACATGCATACCTCACGCAAAGTAAAAGTAGCAGTGGCTAGCACACTTTGGTATTGTTTATTGTTATGATGTACTTCCTGTAGAAATGTCTCGTTAATCCCACTGACTTTTTTTTTTTTTTTCTTTTTTGGAGCCCTCCGGGTCCAACCTTTTTGGCACCGAGGGACCATTTCATGGGAAGACAGTATTTCCATGGACCAGGCGGTCAAGGTGTGGGGTCGGGTGGGCCGAGCTCAGGCTGTGATTTTACGCGCTGTTTCTAACCGGCCGCAGCTGGGTTGGGGTTGCAGGATTTTATGGATAAAAAAGGCCTTTCTGTCAAAACAGTGTTTTAAAAAAGGACTAAATCTAATATTTATTTCAATCCTGTAAGCTGTAGGCACCTTGTGTGTATGTGTCTGCATTTAATTAGCCATGGCCGGGCACGGTTGGCTCAGCTAGTATCTAGTCTCTGGGAGGCCGAGGCGGGCGGATTGCTCGAGGTCAGGAGTTCGAAACGCCTGAGCAAGAGCGAGACCCTGTTCTACTATAAAATAGAAGAAATTAATTGGCCAACTAATATATACACAAAAAAAAAAAATTAGCCGGGCATGGTGGCAAATGCCTGTAGTCCCAGCTACTCGGGAGGCTGAGACAGGAGGATTGCTTGAGCCAGGAGTTTGAGGTTGCTATGAGCTAGGCTGACGCCATGGCAGTCACTCTAGCCTGGGCAACAAAGCGAGACTCTGTCTCAAAAAAAAAAAAAAATAAAATAAAAATAAACATACCACATACAAAAGTGGTTTATTACCATTTATTTCTTGACTGCAGTCTGTGAACAAATATTCATTATATTTTCAATAATATGAAAAGAAAATGGGCCTAAATTGTTAATTGTTTTATGGTTGAACACTTCTCTAGTCTTTTACCTAGTCAGCTTAAATGTAGAGACCAGCAAATAGTAGATTTGCTTAACCTTAGTGTTTAACACAATAATTCAGAATAATTTATGAGAGAAACCAATTTTTCAGAGAATAATATTTAGGTTAAAGGGTTGTTTTAATATTTTCGGATATATTTTCAGATAATATCTTTCTTATAGCTACAATGTGAAATATGTATAAAATGAATGCTGTCTCTTTAAAATATTCCTGTAATCTTAGCTTTCTGTTTTAAAGCAATAAGTCTGTATTATGTGAAGCATATAGATTATAGAAACTCACTGTTATGTTACTACAGATTTTGTAAAGATAAAATTTAATTTAGATTTTGAAAGGCTATAAAGATATTTACTCTGTTTCCCTAATGACCTGGTAGGCTACAGCTAAACTGCCTTAGAAATATGAAAATTTTCTCTTTTCTTAAAGATCTCCAGAAAAAATGTTCCATAAACTAATTTATTGTGATTTAAAGATACAGTTGACCCATAAACCACTGGAGATTAGGGGAACCAACCCCCTCACACAGTCAAAAATCCAGGTATAACTTCTGACTCCCAAAAACTTAACTGCTAATTACCTACTGTTGGCTGTAAGTAAGTAAACCTTACTTACCTGTATCATGGTCAGTTAACACATATTTTATATATTATGAATGTATTTATACTATCATGTTTAAATAAAAAAAAAAAAAAAAACGGAGGAGGGAATCACCAAGCTCCCTCCTAACCTCAACATTTTTTGATACTATGAAATGATTCTTATTCTAGATTTGGTCATATTTCAACAATAACCATCTTGACCCTCTCCGTGCGAATTACAAACTTGACTACCGTTAACTGGAGGTAGACATACCTCAGAACTTTATACCTTGATATCTCAATCCATTCATGGAGATTTAGGGAGGTGAGGTGTGGTCATTTTTGTCTTATTTTCCTTTAGCAGTTGGTTAGACTTTTGAGTTATAATGGTATCATGACCTAGGGGCTTCTCAGGATAAACACCCGAAGGCTTTTCTGAATAAATAACATGTAAAATCCAGTCCAGATTGTATTTGCACAAATTTACTGCCTCACCTTTGTCCAAGCTTTCCTATTTATTCACACTGCCTTCTTTTGGATTGCAGTTTCATTTCTCAGAAGAAATATAAAGTCTTAGCATCTCATAGCTGAAAAGGACCTTAATGATCACCTGATTTAATCTCTTTCACATCTTAGGTGAAGATACTGAGTCTCAAAAGATTGAATAACTTGCCCAAGAATACTCAGCTAGGTATGATAGAGCTGAGGACTAAAACTCAAGGTCACTTGGCCCCTAGACCTGTGGTTTTATTACCAGCTGTTCCTTCCAGGTTGTTGCTCTTGTGTGTTTCTTCCTTATGGTTGTTGCTCTCGTGTGTTTCTTCCTTATCGTTTACCAAAAATACCCAGGAAAAGCCTCATAACTGAACTCCAATAGAGTATAGCAGTATCTAGGAAATAGGCTAGCATAGTAATCTAAAATGTTGAGTAGTTAAGTGATCTAAAATATTGGTTGCATTTTTATTTCTAAATCTATTAATATATTAAGAAGAAGTTAAAAAAATTGAAATTCACAAGACCCTCAGAGACCCAGGATTAAGATGGTAATTTAAATAGAGCAAAAATATTTGGAACTTTATTCAAATTTATTTCTAATTGCACATCAGTAAAGTTCTACAAAAGAATACTTTCATTTCATATAAATGGAGTTTTGTATATAGGTATTCAGTGAATGCTACTTGTTTTTCTTACATGTGATGACCTTCCAAAAATGGGGAGTTTTTTTCTTTAATTTACTGAGCATTTCCTACTGGAAAAATCAAGGATTAGGCAACACACTCAAATTAGGAAATTAAAGTGTAAATCCCAAAACATATTGACAAAAGTATCTAGTAAGTTAAGGTTTAAACAGTTGCTTTTTGTGATTTTTTTAAACATAAGGATAAATACTATGTTAATTATGAACATTCTTTCAGGGCAGCAGTGACTTTTGTCAATTTTCTTCAAATTTTGATGCAAATTTCTGTTAAATGGAAGTGGTCATATTAACAGGAAGTTACTTTTATGTCAATATTTAGGAATCATACTATTATCTATAAAAGGCTTCTCTAGGTTGGGTGCGGTGGCTCACGCCTGTTGTCCTAGCACTCCAGGAGGCCGAGGCGGGCGGATTGCTCAAGTTTAGGAATTTGAAACCAGCCTAAGCAAGAGTGAGACCCCGTCTCTACTATAAATAGAAAGAAATTAATTGGCCAACTAATATATATATAGAAAAAATTAGCCAGGCATGGTGGCGCATGCCTGTAGTCCCAGCTACTTGGGAGGCTGAGGCAGGAGGATCGCTTGAGCCCAGGAGTTTGAGGTTGCTGTGAGCTAGGCTGACGCCACGGCACTCACTCTAGCCTGGGCAACAAAGGGAGACTGTCTCAAAAAAAAAAAAAGACTTCTCTATAGATTATGTGAATTACAAACATAGTAGGAAAAGAAACCTGTCAAAGGACAGATACCAGCTAAACAGATCTGTAACATACACACAAAATAAGAAAATCAATACTACAATCTTTCCAACAAGAAATTACTTTTTTGCCCTTGTAGCCCAAGAACTTAGTTCAGCTCAAGTATAAGAGCCTGTGTAGATACTAATAACTTAATGAGGTTTTCCTGAATGAATATTATTTTATAATTTTCTAGTTCATCAAAATATAAAGTTTGATGAAGTGATACTATAAATTATCAAACTGCAGTTAACAACAAATTAGGCGACAGTATTTTGAAAACATTAAACTTTTAGATTGAGGAAATTTGCATGACTTATAGACTCCCTAGGACCCAGGGATGCATGATAACCCTTTTTTTGTTTTAAAATAATTCTTACTCAAACATCATAGGCTTCTTAAAGCCTTTGAGATCAAAGGTACTGTGATTGTATGTGCTTTTTTTCCTCCTTTTTTTAATTGGCTAAAAAGAGGGGGAAAAGAAAAAGGTTTCCTTTTAAAAACTGCACACACTTTTTTGGGGGGGTAATAAATGAACATTTTTTTGTTTGTTTTTTTTAGAACTGAGCTCTCCATAGACAAACATAAGTAGCATAACACAGTGTCTTTCCTCAGACATCATTCTGTACAGTAAACCAACACAAACAGCTCCGTTCTTATTGACTGGATTTTTTCCAGGTGGGTTAATTGGGTGGGGAAAATTAATTAACCTTAACATTGGAGCCTCTTTTCTTCTGTTAAACTTAAAGGATGGATTATTTTTTTTTAAAGGTAATAAAACAACAATTGTAATCTTTCATATAGAGGAAATTTTTGTAATGACTAAAATTAGAAAATATATAGAACAATTAGTATATAAACACAGAACTATCAGGAACCACCTGAATGCTTTGGGAAGGTAATATGGATAAAATAGACACCAAATAATAATTAGCGAATTTCTTCTCAAGCTCAGCACAAAATTGAATTCCAACTCTGGATTAAAAAAACTGATATTACCTTCGTATACTATCTAGCACAAGTGTCACAGCTTTACAAAAATAAACTTGGGAATTGGTATCGAAACTTGGGAAGTGAGCAGTTCTCTTTCCTATGTTTAATTCAGGAAATTTAATTTTCTTTTTCTTTAAATTAAAGTCACTCTTGTTAAATGTGGTAACAGAAATGCTGAAATTTTCATTTGAAAGTGATGTTTAGCATGATCTTGAACCTTTGTCAAATGCTTTAATTCTCCACAATTTTTAATGCTGAATTTGTTTAAATAATGTAAGATATATATGACATTTGTGCACTTTATAAAGTGTTTCCTTATTTTATGTTCAGCATTTACAGCCGAACAATACCAGCAACATCAACAGCAACTGGCACTAATGCAGAAACAGCAGCTTGCACAAATTCAGCAACAGCAAGCAAATAGCAATTCCTCCACCAACACTTCACAGGTGAGGGATTTGTCTGTCTTATGATTATCCCTCATTGTTTCCCACCAGAGTTCATCTCTAATTACCAACTGTTGTCATAGAACCTTGCATCTAACCAGCAGAAAAGTGGCTTTCGCCTGAATATACAGGGTTTAGAAAGAACATTACAGGTGAGTATGGAAGCTGTTGCCTCTGCTCCCTATTTTAAAAAGTAAAAGTAAAAAACATAGTTGAATGAGATGGAGATGCCATCTTCAAGTATGACTTATAATCTGTTAATGTACCTCTTTCATATATAGCCCCACCCAGCTCCTTATCTTCGGCGCTTCAATTATTATTATTAAGATTGTTTTTTAATTATACTAAATATCTTCTTTTACTATTGAAAGAGATCCCTTTTAAGCCTTAAAGCATGATAAATGTTTTCCGTTTAAAACGTTTAGGGCCTAAAGGCTGAGATTTGAGTCTCTAAACCTCTGGCAGGAAAAACTCATTTTTAAAAATTTAAGAGGCCTCTCACTTTTAGGGTTAAATTATGATGTGATATTCTGTTACTTCCATTTCTGAGGGAATGGTTATCTTACTATCCCAAAGGTGCCCTTGGTTTGTGTGTATATGTATGTGTAAGTTAGGTGAAAGTTTACGCATTTATTTATTCATTATATGTGTTTGGAAATCACTGAACTGAAATGCTTTACTAGCATATTTCTTGTCCAACATTTTGTGTTGGAGGTTTGCTGTTTTCACATTATAGAAGGCTTATTTTGGTAATTGACTAGTACGTATCAGATAGTCACACATTAAGGTCAAAACATATAACTTTTGAGTTAGAAGACTACTTTTGATTCCTCAAATTTATGACTGTCAGAGATGAAGAGGCCGGGCGTGGTGGCGCACGCCTGTAATCCTAGCACTCTGGGAGGCCAAGGCAGGCGGATTGCTTGAGGTCAGGAGTTCGAAACCAGCCTGAGCAAGAGCGAGACCCCGTCTCTACTATAAATAGAGAGAAATTAATTGGCCAACTAATATCTATAGAAAAAATCAGCCGGGCATGGTGGCGCATGCCTGTAGTCCCAGCTACTTTGGAGGCTGAGACAGGAGGATTGCTTGAGCCCAGGAGTTTGAGGTTGCTGTGAGCTAGGCTGACGCCACGGCACTCACTCTAGCCAGGGCAACAAAGCGAGACTCTGTCTCAAAAAAAAAAAGAAGAGATGTCAGTAATTTGCCATTTTCATTTGTATTCAAGCTGATTTTGGTATGCCAGTTTAGCTTTAATATTCATTTAAGACTAAGTGATACTGATTAGATTCCCATTGTATTTTATTTTTAGGGTTTTGTTTCTAAGACTCTGGATTCTGCTAGTGCTCAGTTTGCTGCTTCTGCTTTGGTAACATCAGAACAACTGATGGGATTCAAGATGAAGGATGATGTGGTGCTTGGAATTGGGGTGAATGGCGTCCTTCCAGCCTCAGGTACAGAGAGAGTGTTTAAATTGTTTTGATTATGTTTATAATGTTTATAATCTGTAATACAAACAGCAAAGTTGCACATTGTTGAGATGTTTCTTTCTTTTTCTCTCTAGGAGTATACAAGGGCTTACACCTCAGTAGCACTACACCAACAGCACTTGCACATACAAGTCCCTCGACAGCAGGCTCGACTCTGTTACAGCCTTCAAACATTACACAGACTTCAAGTTCCCACAGTGCGCTGAGTCATCAAGTAGCTGCTGCCAATTCTGCAACAACTCAGGTTCTGATTGGGAACAACATTCGATTAACTGTACCTTCGTCAGTTGCCACTGTAAACTCTATCACCCCAATAAGTGCACGACACATACCTAGGACTTTGAGTGCTGTTCCGTCGTCTGCCTTAAAGCTGGCTGCCGCGGCAAACTGTCAAGTTTCCAAGGTTCCACCTTCATCCTCTGTAGATTCAGTTCCAAGGTGAGTAGATACTTTAAGCCTAAACTATCTGAAAAATATGAGATCTAACTTAAATCCTCTGGCATTGTTCTTTACCTATTTCTTTGTGTTTCCTGTTATACATTAAAATGTATAGATGAGCATCGATTACTTATTTAAGAACTAAACAAATGTTATAATTTAATATTCGTTGAGCATTTGAACTAAATGGTATAGTAAATATTGCCTATATGATTTGGGACATTCCTTCCTTACTATAACAATGGCTTATAATGCTCTTATTTTTCTTATACCTTTGGATATAAGAAATTCTCTTTAGAATATTTCTTTTATGATTTTTTTGCACAGCTTCTCATGTAAACAGTTAGAATTGATTGGACACCCTCCCCAATCACTAGTATGCTAAGCTATTCTTAATAATGTAAAGACTTAAAGAATTCATGCCAGGTCAACTTTTAATCAAACCATTATTTTCTATGCTAACTTGCCCTTTTGGGTTTTAATAGATGGTTTAGAATTTTTGCTCAGGCTCTATTATGTTTTAATAATATTTAAAACATAATGGTAATTATGTTTACATAATGGTAATTACCATTACATAACGGTAATTAAAATCCTGCTGTGAACAAGGAACTAAGGGGAAAACACAAAGAGAAAGACAGGTGTTTTCAGTTTAGTTGGAAGACAAGCATAAAAGTATGAAAAGCTAAATAATGTTAACTATAAGTAATAGGTGTAAATTGTTCTAGAGGTATCACAAAGCATTATATGCTTGTCAAATTCATTGTATGGTTGATGGCTATAATTTCAGTATAAAGAGACATCTTTTTGCACTAAGGGGATTCAGGGAATGTTCTAACAAAATAAGATCAGATTCAATCTGGGGTAGTTGCTTAGACAAAGAGAAGGGGAAGAAAGAGTGTTTCGGGTAGGTAGAATGTGCTAAGTGAAGGAACAAAGTTGGATAAATTTAAGTGTTTGGAAGTTAAAAGGTAAACTGGTTTTTCTGTAGGTTTGGGAAGCTTAATAATTGAAATGGGAATGGCAGAAGATGGCCAGACTGTGGAGGACCTTGAATGCCAGACTGATAGACTTCCTCCGTCAGGAGGAAGAGAAAGAGCAGGGTTTTTGTAGCAGCAGGTTGTAGCCTTTAGCTTCCAAAGCCATGCTCTGGACTTAAGTCATAGTCATTGTCTGCTCAGTACCCAGCCATTCCTATTAGTTTTCTGGGTCTGGTCATGGCTAATCAATCAGCCATAGTTCTGACATGTATGTGATATGATTCTACTGCTATACAATTGTATAACTGTGGAACATTTGCAGTGTGTGGAACTTGTATATCATTTATTCCTTTGTTTTTAAAGATGAGGAAACTGGGAGATCTAGAGAAGTTAACGGACTTCTCCAAAGACACTCAGCAGTCTAGGTGATAGAATAGCTAAAACCCTAGTGTTCTGATTACTAGCTAAGCAGCTGTCCTACTCAACCCTGAATATTTAGAACCCTGACTTAAAGTCTTGATATGAACTTCAGTCATATGTGTTCCTTTTTTAAAACCCTTAAAAGGTTTAATAGAAGTGGAAGTTAAAACTACAGTTACTAAAACTTGCGAATTCTTTGTGTTTTCAACATCTTGGTTGCTTGGGTGCCGCTATAGTTGGTAACATACATAACCATGGAATTTATAGTCAGCATTAGCCTGATTTCTGAGCATATATTCCTGATACATAAAAGTTGATATGAAGGTTCATATTTCTCTGCTTGCTGTCTTATTCCCAAAGACTCAAATTTCTTCCTGTTATAAAAAAACAATCAAAATTTTTATTGGGAAGATAGTCTTCATCATAGATAAGTAATTGATTGACCTTTATTTCAACAGGGAAAATCATGAATCAGAAAAGCCAGCACTGAACAACATAGCAGACAATACAGTAGCGATGGAGGTGACGTAGCTTCCTCAGGAGTGGAACTGCAGCCTGGGGACTTGATTAGGTGCTATGCATCAGTAGCATTTTGAATGCAAGGGATGACGGAATGCAGCACATGCGTTTCTGTGGCAGCTGTGGGGACTTGACAGCAGTGCTCATCTCTCATGCTTCAATTTTTCTTTTCTTACTGTTAATAGGAAAAAATCAACATCTGTAAATTAAGAATACAGCAATTATCTGTACAGTACTGCATATTTGTAATACCCTTGTATATATGTTACTTGAATACAGAAATGTTCATTTGTGATGCTTTGCACTTGGGGGTGGGAGGGTGGGAGGGAAATAAATTGCAACAAAGAGTGTGAGATGTGAGATTGTATAGAGATGAAGTGTCATCACATCATGTGCATGGTGCGGAACCTGCTGTTTTATCTATTTATTGTGCCGTGTTTACAGTTTTTTGTACACTGTACCTTCATTGGTTCCTGTGCTGTAGTAAATGTGTTAGGTAGCTGTGGACTCCTTGGTATTTTGTAAATGGTATAACATAACTTGGTTCCCCTCTGGGTCCTTGAGTTTTCTGTGTATCATGTGAAAAAAAATGGTGACATACATACAGAATTTTACAAAAAAAAAAAAGGCATCAGTTTTTTTAAAAACGGGGAATGTACTGTTAAATGGGGATCTTCCTGGTCTGCTGTCTTAGGACAAGTAACAAGCTAAAAATGAAGTCTCTTGAATCTTCCCATCCCCAGCCTGCCCACAAAGCTGTGGGCAGTTTCTGGTACTTAAAGCACTAATGTTATGTTGCTGCTCCACAAACAGCCCAGTAATCCCATTTCCTTCCACACCAAAAAGTGTTAAATCAAGTATGCAAATGGAGTCCTTACAACTGGAGTTTATGTTGTCTTGCCCTTTTTTTAGCACAAAAAAATTGTACTTTTTTATTGTCAAATTGTTTGGAAGACTTCATTCTTTACTTGTTCTTACAAAAGGATATGAGGGAGAAGAATGCAGTAATTGCTATACGTGTATCATCATTCCAGTTTCTAGAAACAGCCAGCGTTTTTCCTTTTAAGATTCTCCAGAAGGCTGCAAGGCCAGAGCCACAAATACCGGGTGCCTTCCTCTGGGAATGTCTGACCTCTCTTCTGTGAAGAGAACGGCACTGACAGACACTGCTAGGGCTTTGTCGGTGCCGAAGTCTGAATGCCCAGTCCAATGGCATACATTATCCTTAAGGTTTTTAATCCCACCTGGAAAAATTGTGATAGAATTCTCACAAAATAAACCCAGGGCATTACATGTTGACAAACTAATGTGTAGTGGTCTTTTGCTTTTATTTTCTACCCAAGAACTTTTGTGTGACTTTAATTACAATCATTCAGTAGGGGGGGGGGTGGAAGTGGGGAAGTGATGACTTTTAGTTCATTTTTTTTCAAAAGTTATTTATTGAATGACTATAGGCCTGGGACTGTTTTCGGTCCTACAACAGTGAGAAAAATCCCTGCCCTCCTGGAGTTCATTAATCTCATTAGGGGAGAAAAACTACATTTTAAAATGTATAATGATAAGTATTAGGAAGAAAAGTAAAGCAAGGAAGGGAAAGGCATTCCAGTGTGGGCTAGAGGTTGAAGTTTTGAGTACTGTGGTCAGGCAAGGGCTCACAGGCAGTTACATTTGATCAGAGAGATGTGGCGTCAAGAAAAAGTAAGAGAAGGAAAGTACAGACACCTGAGGTGGGAACATGCTCCAGCCAGTCTGCCAAGGGACTGGTTCGAAACTCTCAGGACTTTGGCTTTTCCCTCTGCTGAGAAAGGAGTTTGGAGCAGAGGACTGGTGTGATCCGAGGAGGCTTGAGTAGACTGCAGTGGGAGCTCAGTTAGGCTATTGCAGTAATCCAAGTGAGAGAGGATAGTGGCAAAGACAGTAGTCAGAGGTGGTTGGATTCTGTTTATATTTTAAAGGCACCCATTAAAATTTGCTTACTGAATATAAACATAAGGGACAACAGGAAAGGGAAGAGTTAAGGATGAAATCAAAGTATTTGGCCTGAGCACTGACCAGTTGGAAAGCACTGTGGGAGGAGTGCTTAAGATCAGAAGTTCAGGTTGGGACTGTTTTGAGAGATACATTAGACATCCAAACAGAGCCATCAAGCAGTCAGCTGCATATAAAAGTCTGGAATTTAGAGGAGGGGTTTGAGCTGGAGTTTCAGAACCTGAGGGTCATCTTCATAGATGAAGCTTAAAGCCATGAATCTGGATGAGATCACCAAGAGAGTGGGATCAAATCTGTGCAATACAGCTGTCCGTGACCACGGGGTTTTTTTTTTAGTTGTTAGGGGTTGGTATTTTGGTGTTGCATGGACCTCATATTCAAGTAGAAATCCATATACACTACTGACATGACATAATTGAATGTTTTTTTGTTGTTGTTGTTTGTTTGTTTTTTGAGACAGAGTGTCTCGCTTTGTTGCCCAGGCTAGAGTGAGTGCCATGGCGTCAGCCTAGCTCACAGCAACCTCAAACTCCTGGGCTCAAGCAATCCTCCTGCCTCAGCCTCCCGAGTAGCTGGGACTACAGGCATGCGCCACCATGCCCGGCTAATTTTTTCTATATATATTAGTTGGCCAATTAATTTGTTTCTATTTATAGTAGAGACGGGGTCTCGCTCTTGCTCAGGTTGGTTTCGAACTCCTGAGCTCAAACGATCCGCCCGCCTCGGCCTCCCAGAGTGCTAGGATTACAGGCGTGAGCCACCGCGCCCGGCCCCACGGGGTGTTTTAAAGTTATTCTAACCTTTAAGAGAACTTGTCTCAAAGGACGGACTTCCAATTTGGATAACTACTTTTGTTTACTCTGTTATACATTTTTTAAGGGGAAAATATATAAAAGCTGTCCTCTTCTAGTGGCTGATGAGTGTGACTAAAAATTTAAACTATAACTGCTGATTTAAATATACTCAAGAATAATTAGGATTAGGATTAAAATTTCTGAAATTAACCCAGCAGATAGCATGAGGTCTGGGTCCCCAAATTCTGCCAAGTGTGCCTACTACTGTCCCCAGCCAGTTCATAACTGGAATGAGGAACTATTAAGTCCTCATTAAGCACGTCCAATCAGGAATTTGAAGTGAGTCTTGCATTGGAATTGCTAAGTGACAGGCAAGGGATAACCAACAGCCATGCAGCACTCAATTATGTAACCACAACAACTCTGAGATGCAGAGAAAATGCAAATTAGTATTAGGCACATTTTAAGATAAAATTTACCCAAAACTGAGTTTTCAGCCTCTAAATTTCTTGCCATTTTTCATACACTTCACTACCAATGGTTTAATAGTCTGAATGAAGTAAAGGACTTAATACAAAAGAGCAACTTCAACACTAAGACTTTAGGGAAAGTGAGAAATACGTCAGCAGGCAACCTTGACAGCTAGTCTGATAACTGCCACTTACTTAAAATGTAACAGACCCTATGCATAATAATTATCTTGTTTAATCCTCACAATGACCCTTTTAAGTAGATACTAGCCTTCACCATATTATTAGTAGGATTCGCCCAAGGTCATATCTAATTCATTGACAGTCTAGGATTTAAACTGCTATTTGCCAGACACCAAAGGTAGTTTGCCTACCTACCACCATGTTTGGATAAACCTGGAAATAGATTTAAACAGCTTCCTTAGTAACCTTTGTTCCTATTATGTTCCTAAAGAAATTGGTAATGTTAAGTCTGTTACCCTGGCATCGTTATGATTTTGTCCATTTTATGAGCAGAAACCAAAAAAAAACCTCCCAAACAATATGACTTTTTACCCTAGATATAAATCTCATTTTTTCCAAAAGAACTATCTATGTAAACTGTTTCTGAACTCCAAATTCAGTTTTTTTCATGAATAGTAAAATCATGTATAATATGTTAAAGGTATGCAGGGCTTCACACTCCTCACTAATTCGTAGTAGTGATCTGCTTTTATCTTTTTCATATTTTGTATTTGTGTTCTATGTAAGAATTCTTTCAATAAAAGGGTTCTGCTATTTTTTTAAAAGTTCACAAATAACAGCAATAGAAGAATAGACAAATAGCACATTGGTTCAACAAATATTAACTATGTCAGTCACTACTAAAGGCAGATAGATGTGTGGTCAGATGACAGCAAAGGTCAGGCAGCTGTGGGTCAAATCCTAACTGTACCACTGACGCTGTGTGACTGCATGAGTTACTTAACCTCTCTAAAATTCAGTGTCTTCTTGAAAATGGTGCACCTACATTGTTCATTGTCGGGAGAATTAAATGAAATATGCAATGATAATTCTGAGATTTAAATTATGGGAATGAAATGAAATACAGTACTCAGGCAAATGTTAAAAAAAAAAAAAAGTACACAGTGCCTTCCTCCAAAAAGGACTGAATTTTTATTGTTAAGATGATCCACTGAGATGGGGACTAGGAAGATAATTTACAGCTTAATATTTGTTCTGGTTTTATATTTACTTGTTTGCCAGTAAGTTACCCTTATTTGGAATGAGGAAATGCAGATATACCCTTCACTTCCTGCTCTTCCTATAACTATGAGAAATTAAATGACTCTCAGTTCACTGTGGCCCAGATTGCAAAAGAAACAGACGTGCAAAGTCTAGCCCAGGATCTGCTGCAGCTGGCTCACATTGGCTTATGAGAATCAACTTAAATTTTCAGAAATTTTATGAACTGGTTATTAAACCACTTTTTTTAATTATATAAACTTAAGAGTTAAGAAATTCTATATTAAAAAGATAATACAAGGCCGGCCACGATGGCTCACACCTGTAATCCTAGCACTCTGGGAGGCCGAGGCAGGCGGATTGCTCGAGGTCAGGAGTTGGAAGCCAGCCTGAGCAAGAGTGAGACCCCGTCTCTACTATAAATAGAAAGAAATTAATTGGCCAGCTAATATCTATAGAAAAAATTAGCCGGGCATGGTGACGCATGCCTGTAATTCCAGCTATTTGGGAGGCTGAGGCAACAGGATTGCTTGAGCCCAGGAGTTTGAGGTTGCTGTGAGCTAAGCTGACGCCACGGCACTCACTCTAGCCTGAGCAACAAAGCGAGACTTTGTCTCAAAAAAAAGATAATACAAGAAAACAAAACAGACCTATATCCCTGGTGAATGTTGATGCAAATGTCCTCAACAAAATGCTACCAAGCAGAATTCAGGAGCACATTAAGAAGATTATACAAAATAACCAAGTGAGATTTATTGCTGGAATGTAAGGATGGTTCAACATACAAAAATCAATTGATGTATGACAAAACCACACAATCATCTCAATTGATGCAGAATTTGACAAAAATCCAACACCATTCACAATGATAACACAACAAACTAGGAATATAAGGAAAATACCTCAACATAATAAAGGTATGATAAAAAAAAATACATATATTTGGTCTTTGCCCCTGGTTCCTGACACAGAGCTTCTAAAACTCTTGGAATTTCCCCAGTGACAGGAATGAGAGAATCATCTTTCCTTATTCATATTTCAACCCTGAGTTTATGGTAGTAAGGTGATGCTTGGTGGGCCCCTAAATGGCTTCAAGATGGTGGCTGGTTGCCAGAGGAACTAACCGTGTGATTAGAGGGCTGGAACTTTCAGCCTGGCCCCCCAAACATGAGGAGAGTGGAAAAGGGGTGAGGACTGGGTTGAATCACCAATGGCCAATTATTTAGTCAATTGTGCCTACTTAACAGAACCTCCATTGAAAACCTCTAAATGGGGGAAGACAACACATGTAACCTAAACATTTGTACCCCCATAATATGCTGAAATTAAAAAAAAAAAGAAAAGAAAGCCCTAAGTAACAGGGCTCAGAGAGCTTCCAGATTGGTGGACACAGCGAGGTGCTGGGAGGGTAGGTAGCACACCCACAGAGGGCATGGAAGTTCAGCACACCATCACCACAAATCAGTAATAGTAAAGCAAGGTCTTGAGCTCTGTGAGCCATTCTAGCAAATTGTTGAACCTGAAAGAGAGGGTCATGGGAACCCCTATATTTATACCCAGTAGGTCAGAGCAGTTGGCAGCCTGGGATCTGTGAATGGTATCTAAAATGGGAGTTTTGTAGAACTGAGCCCTTAACCTGTGTGTGGGGGGGTCCACATTAACTTCAGATAGTGTCAGAATTGAATTATAGGACACACAGTTGGTGTCCAAAAAGTTAGAGAACTGATTGTTGGTGTGAAAAGAAAAAAACCAGTATTTTGTGTCCAATGCATTCTGAGTAAAAACTCTACATTAAATTCATATATGAAAACCCCATAGCTAACATTATAC